TATGGATACCTTTCTAAGTTCAGACAACTTTTCAGTATTTAAAACCCAATCTTCTGAGCCTGTCCAGCTTGTTATGATTTTACTCAAGTCTGGATTACAGAAACGGATCCATCTTCTAGGTGTGACCCCATTTGTTTTATTTTGAAATTTCTCAGGCCACAACTGCCAAAATTTGAGCACAGTGATCAGTAATAGAATCATTTCCTTGTAACAAACCGATATGTTTTATAAATTGCACTTACCTGAAAAAAATCATTAAAAACTTCGTCTTTCACTATCTCACTATGAATCGCGGCAACTCCATTGACTGCATGACCACCTACGACACATAGGTTAGCCATACGAACCAGCTTAGGGGGCTCTGGTACTGGTTCCGGGATCTTCTTTTTCTTCTTTTGAATGCCTTTCTTTACAGATTTACTTTTTCTACCAGCAGGCTTGAGTTCTTCTTCTTCTTTTTCCTCTTCAGATTCACCAAGTACATCAGTGGAAACAGCAACAGGACTTGCCTTGGGTTTAACCAGTAAATCAGAGAACGCAGCTGGCAGCTCAACATTTTCTAAAATCCTCATCTGCTTCAGCTTCTTCTGCAGTAAGTTAGAATCTGCTGTACCATATTCTGAAACTATGGTACGAATTAGCTGCAAATGGTATAAATAGGAAGCAGATCGAATTAGAATAGGAATAGGAATTCCAAAAAAAATGAAGGTTTTGTCTAATGTATATTTTCCATCTGACCTCCTCATCGATCATTTCTATAATCTCCACGTGTCTAGGCAACAGTTTCTGCATAAGAGCTAAACTCCATTTCTCCAAAGCCTCAGGCAGAACAGTATGGTTTGTGTATGCCACGGTTCTGAAAAAGGGCATTACAGTGAATATTGAGTATGGCTTGATCTCTTAGTAACATCTTGCAGAAAACATGTTGGAAAAGGAAAAATAAAGGATCTGTGCTGCATAAAATTAAACAAACATGACTTAAGAGTACCTTTGGGTGATATTCCAGGCCTCCTTCCAGCTTAGACCTTTCACATCGATCAAAATTCTCATCAACTCTGGAATGCAAAGAGTGGGATGAGTATCATTCATTTGCACGGCAACCTTGTCAGGAAATTCCTCCCATCTGACCTTCGTTCCGGATCTTCTCTCAAAACGTGCAATGATATCTTGTAGGGAGGCTGAGCACATGGTATATTGTTGTTTTAAACGAAGGGTTTTTCCTTCAAGTGACTCATCCCCAGGGTAGAGTACATAGCAAATCTGACATTCAAATACATATTATAAGTCACCATATCACTTGGATCAACATTGTCAGAAGCAAATACAGATAAATTATAAGAAACAATAACAGACCTTTTCAGCATTATATAGGGCCTCAGCTGCTTGGGTATGTTTTCCAGAGTTAAACACAGATAGATCAAAGTCTCCTGATGGAGCTTTCGTTGACCAGAGTCTTAGGCTGATCGTGGTTTTAGTTTCATACCCTGGTATGGGGACATCATAAGCAACAGCTATTATATCCTCTCCTCCAATCCAGTGTTTCTTTCCATCTGAATCTGTAAGGACCTTGCCATAAAACTTGATAGGATATCTGACATCATTTCTCACAATTTCCCAAGGATTGCTCATCTAAAATAGAAACCATAATCAAGACAAAGTTAAAGAAAACAGCAATATTTATTATGCAGATGTCATATAGACATATGTGTACTTTTATTTCTACAAACAAAGAGCAAGTATACCTCAAGCCAATCTTCAGCAGCTTCTCCCTGCCCATCTTCTGTAATACGCTGTTTAAATAAGCCATACTTATATCTAAGCCCATAACCCCATGCTGGGTAATTTAAGGTCGCCAAAGAATCCAGAAAGCAGGAGGCAAGTCGACCGAGGCCTCCATTCCCTAGGGCAGCGTCAGGTTCCTATAGATCAATCAAAAAATTTAGCTATCATGACACCCTCCCAGATTTTCTTTTTTGACAAAGACACCAAATAAACCAGAAAGGGAATCATATATGGCATTATGGTAGCTAGTAAAGGATTCAAATGATGGCCAGTTCCTCTGATAAAACAGAAAATTTATCAATAACTAAGTCAATTAAAGTTCTAGAGCAGTCTGGATATTCCTTTGTCCTCTCCAGTCATTCACTACTGTCAGAATGTATTATGAAGTAAGGTACACAAAAGAAAAAAAAATGATATACACCGACTAACCTGGGCAGCTATTTTTTCTAGGTTGTGTCCAAGCTTACTCAAAGCCTCTGCATAAGCTCCAGTAAGCCCCAAATTACCAACTGCATTCAACAGAGCTCGACCCTATAGAAGAAACAAGAAAGGCTGAAAGTGCAACATCTTCAAAGTGTGTTACAGAACTCAGGAACTGAACGTCTAAAAATCACACACCTGTAGAAATTCCATCGACAAATAATATGCCTGCTTTGCATTCAACCTTTCATAATAATCATATGTGGCATTCCAGTTTATTATGAGAGCGTCACGAATACTTTGTGCGGTTGCAAAGAAAGCCTTTGGAAGCTCGAACTTCTCAGGGGAAAACAATGGGGTGAACTCGGCATGGTATTGGATACTAGAGGCAATAGATGAAGCATCTGGAGGAGTTAAAAGGTGACGACTGCCAGGAGATTCTACATCCAATGAAAATGAATATAAGTTAAAATACAGAGCAAAAGTGGAAAGCGGAGGACATTGTAATGTATATAATTAACACGCAAAATCCACAAGTTCCCAATTAACCAAACAAATAAACAAGAAAACTGAAAAATAATAGTAAAAACAGAGCATTTGCATTCGTATACAGATATTACGGAAGGAGATCGAACCTTCTTGCTGAGTTAGCGGATCTTTCACCTTCTGTTTGTGATCACTCGACACATTCTTCACCGATAACGACCTCTTCAGCGGCCTAAGCTGCCACTTCCTCATCAGCATCAGCTGATCCGCTTTGATTCTTCTTCTCTCTCCACCACCGCCACCTCCGCCATTCCTTCCGCGGCCAAAGTCGAGGAATCTAGCCACCGCATTGCAACCGGAAACCGCCTCCGTTCCATTCGGCATTGCAGAGTATCGCCACGTAGCCATCACCCTTTCCAAATTTATGTAAACTTGATAGATCACAGTACTGAAAATGACCGATTCACGGGAATTATATACTACATATGCTTTGAGTTCCAATCACCTGCTATTCAACCGTTTCCACCTGGACACATTTCATTGGCCCACGTGGAAAATAATTTTACCGCTAATGTAACTGCGTATGGTGTTCCGAAATTCGATCGGGTAAAACCATGCCCTTTTTTACCGCTTCGCCACCGAACAGCTGTCTCTTTTCGGTGACGTGGCCTGACCTGATTGGTCAAGTTTAAGATTTATTTTTTGGGTATCGGAAGGAGAATATCTAAGTTTGAATTGGATATTTTTTTTAACATTTTCTTCCAGGAGAAAAGGACAAAAGCGAATGAGAAGGGAGATATGGGAGCCATGTACGCTCTGCTCCATCCACTTGTAAGCATTTGATTGGATTCTGTTGATCATGTCCAGATAGTTATATAGTGAGTATGAGTGTATTATATTTATGTAGACACGCGGATCAACGGTGGCGATTTAAAGTGTATAACAACAAAAGGCCTTTTCTTCCATCGAACAACCTTTTCTTCTTGATGTTTTTCGATATGGATTGGTTAGCTTATGATTCGATTAATTAGGGCAATATTCGAATCAAATTCATCAAAATTAAATTAATTAATTTTTTAAATTGTCAATTGAAGTAATTATTTAAAAAAAAATTAATCAAATCAAATAAAATTCAACTAATTCGAATGAGGTTTGATTCTTAACAAATCTAGACTTTATATATATATATATATATATATATATATGCAATTCATACAATATATTAAATATTTAAAATTTTCAATTATTTTGATTAATTAACCAATTTTAAATTGATTTAACCGATAACCGGAATTTTGAAAAGAAATTTAACTGTTAACCAAACTAAATTTCAATTAGAACATTTAATTCGTTCAAAACCTAACGATAAACAATCTATTTATGGTCAAGCGTTTATACTGTTTTCTTGATTTGCTGAAGAGAAATCGTTTGCAGAACTGTGATTACTGTGTCTTGTGTTCAAAGTTTAAACAGCAACGAAGGCTGACGGAATGGCAGTCGTTCCATACAATGGCTAAAAGATGTGCAGAAATAAAGGAACCATAATTTCATCGTATCGGATATCGATAAATGGCACCGCCTAATTTCTAGGATTAATCAGTTGATACGACGGTAAGCTAAGACGACAGATTCCGATACACAAAATGATAGCTCCGAAACATGCATCAGAAAGTTCATCAACTAGAGTTAGTATATAAACAAATCATAACTGCTCCGGACATGATAACACGAGCTATAAAGTAGGCCTAGAACAATAACATCATGATGTGTGGGCTGGTGTGTGAGCGTGTGCGTATATACCAAAATAAGTGATCCGAAACCGAGTCTTATGAGGCCGAGCTCTGTCGGTAAACCAAGTTAACTAGGAACTCTTCATTTCCATGTTCGAATATATGTCAAACACATACCAGACAAATAAACATTGATGAAAATGAAGAATGCAGATAACATAGGGGCAGGTCACCAGCACTTGTGATGTGCTATACTGCTCTCAGACACTTCATTTTGCTTGATGCATCCATGTTTGGCATCCATATTCGACACTTATTTAGACACAAGTGTGAGGAACTAAACTATATCCACATTATGATGAAGCCGCAACTCCATCGGACATGTAGTGAAGACACATATACCGATTGGCATGAAAATAAACTATAGTGAAGACAACAAGCTAGGCAAAGAACAAGAAGTCAATTCAGTTACCATTAAACAACCATTCAATTCAGCTACCATTAAAAAACCATTCAAGTGCAGGTTACAAAACAAGTCAAACCAAGCCCTCTCAATGCGAGAGAACGACACACTACCCAGAATTCTCGGAACACGTCCACGGTAGCACTCTCACTACTATTCTGGTCACAAACATGGAAGAAGAACCAATAAAGATCTAATCCTTCATATTAGGTGACATCTATGAAACAATTTTGAGTGCACCGTCTTTCTTCTTCACCGGATCAGCTTTAGATTCCATCTTCAACGGCAATGGTGCAGAAAACACAAAATCTCCACCTTGAATCTGATAGTTCCCACCAGTCTCCGTTTTAGCTTGTTTGCTCAAGTTCCTCCTCGAATTCTTCTCTCGATCACTGCTCTGCAAAGACTCTCCATCATTCAAGTTCATCACCTCCAAATTCGCAACTAAATCTTCACTTTCATCAACAAGATTCTCCATTATATCTCCATGATCATCACTCGAAACACACTCGTCGGTTAAACTACCATCTCCACTTGAACTAACATCATTTTCATTGCTGATAATCCTATACACATTCCCATTCTCAGCAAACCTCACTGTTTTGTTCACTTTCGGTCGAATCCCTTGCCTTTTAACCAAAACCCCAGCATTTTTATTTTGATACTCTCCTCCATTAATACCTTGATGAAAACCTTCAAGCTCAACAACATCATCTCCTTCTTCATTGCTGGAAAACCTTTCAAGCTTTCGCAGTTTCTCCATTACTTCTCCACAGCTAGACCTCAAAATCCTCATATTTTTTGCATTCTTATACAGGAGCTTATTCCTTTTCAAAGCCAACCCATCAATATATTCCAAAAACTGAATCAAATCTCTACTAACTGACCTTTTACCATCTCTAATCATTGGATCACCACCCTATAAAAGAATACCCATGTTTCAAAATCCAAGAAAAAGAAGAAGAAAATAGCCAACCAAGATCTTTTAAGTACCAAATTATATGTACCTGGAAAGAGTCAAGTTTTAGAAGCAAATCCATGGCTTTTTGAGAAACGACTTGGGGATGAAGATGGGTTTTATTGGAAACCGAGAGCTTGAGAGAATTGAGACTTGATTTGATAAAGGCGAGATCTTTGAGCTGTCTAAGTGTTCTCGATCTATGAACTAGGAAAGCTCTGAAATGGGTTTGGATTACACGAGCGGCTGCATCTTTAAGCATAAACGAAGGGTTAGAAGAGCAATTCGAGGCTCTGGAAAAGCTGTGTAGTGATGATTCAAGAACATCAATGCGGCTCAGAAGTGAAGAGATGAGAGAGTTGGGGTCTTGTTGGGGATGTTGTTTGCGATGGAAGTGATGGTTTTTAGTGGCATCTTGGAAGGGTTTTAGAACATGGATTTGATTTAGATGGTGATTGTGTTGGGGTTGGAGGAGAGAGGCAAGGGCTTGTAGAAGAGGCTCAGATTGTAGGGTATATGGAGGTGATGGTGGTGGTGGGTGGAAACACTGAGAGCAATAACAGGTGGAGCAGCAGGTGGCGGAGCTGTGGTGGTGCTGGTTGTGATGGTGGTGGCACGCCATTAGGGTTTGTTGGGATTGGATGAAAGGGAGTTGGATTATGGGACCATTGAAGTATTAAAAAGAATAACAAGTGGACATTGACAGAGATTGAAGTTTTAATACATTGTATTTCATCTAAAAATTATATAAATTTACAATATTTTTGTTATAATTGAAAAATTATATTATAAGGCTTAAAACTTATAATTAAAAATATTTTTTGCATTATTTTGGATTACAATTAAAAATATTATAAAAAATATATTATTTTTTTATTATTTCGATTACAATTAAAAATATTATAAAAAATATAATATTTTTATTGTAATTGAAAATATTATTTTATTTATTATAGTATATAACTTTGGGGTATACCAGAGTCGAGTTTAAGAAAAAAAATTATCGACTTCACTGGTATAGATTATTAATTTATCCTTATATGTGTAATATATATTTAAGAATTTATATTTTTATATTATTAAAATATGTTCTTTAATAATTTAAAATATAAAAAATATTATAAAATATTTTTTAACTATTTAAAAAATAATAATGCTTATAAATATATTATTTTAAAAAATATATTATTTTAATTATTTTGAAATATTAATATATTTACATCATGTCGGATCAAAATTGAAATCGAAATTTTAATCTAAAATTCAAAACGAAATCAGATATAAATAATATATTTTCGGGTCAAAACAAAAAGAAAAGAAAAAACTGTCCAACCCACCTCGTGTCCATCCCTCCCTACCTATTATATTAGTGTTGGGCCATACTATAACTTTTACCTGCTCCAATCTTGTTCAATGATCTAATCAAGATATATATATATATATATATTATATGTATGTATGTATGTAAATGAATCACATTTTATAATATTCTAGTTAATAAGGAATGATTTTGGTGAGATTCTATGTTTATTATGTATAATCTCTGTTTTGAAAATCGGATCGGACCGGTCGGTTCAACCGGTTCAATCGGGAATCATTGTTTAGTCCGATTCAATCTAAATCGGTTGAACCACTATTAGTGAACCGGCTAGAATCGCTGAACCGTTCGAACTGGACCGGCTGAAAACGGGAAAAAACCGGGAAAAACTGGGATTTTTGTTTTTTAAAATTAAACCAAAACAACTTTGTTTGTTAAACGAGCCAAGTCGAACTCTAGTATTACTAAGCTCGACTCGAACTTGAAAACTTTAAAAGTAAGCTCAACTCAACTCAAACTCACAAGTTAAAAATTATCAAGTTCAACTCCTAAATTTAAATATGATGTCTCGTATAAAATAATGATAATAATGTTTTTGTCGATAAAAATTTTACATAATATAAGATATTAAGAAAAAATTTAAATAACATACGATTCATTTTCAATATTTGAAAGTAATACTTTTTTCCTCCTAGTTTTTTTCTCATTTATAAGTCGTTTTGTTTTTGTTTTTATCGATCGGTAACGACACAAATTTTAATGTTGGTTGTTGATCATCGATATTTTTTATTGATCTTTTATTTTCTATTGTTTTATTTTCAATAAGTCTGTTTGTATGACACGTTTTTTTTCCTTTTATGACAAGTTTTCTTTTGTTTTTTACACCTATTTCGTTCGTTTGACTGTTATTTTCATTTATTTTTTTCTAAAGGTTGATTAGACATCACCACTACTGATTAAGATAACGTTTATATGTTATATTGTTGATCTTTCCTGGTTTAGACTCTCGGATTGAATTTGGATATTTGTTATGTGTTCATGGATAGCTTTTCACGTCGCTCGAGTTTGATTTTCGATTTTTTCGGTGGTCTTTCAGTAGCTTGATCTCATTTTGTGATTTGTTTGCCGATGTGATCAAATCTATTTATATCATCTCTATTTGAGTTTTCTTGGTTATATTTTAATATTTCCTTGTATGATCTTTATGTGATCTTAAGTTGCTAATTTTAATAAATTATCTTAATTATGTGTTTAATTTACGATTATGATTGTAAATCTTTATTGTAATTTAGGATATTTTTATTTTAAATAAAATTAATAATTTCTTAAAAAATAATTTTAAATAACATGGAAATAATATAATATTCGCGAGAGAAGAATACATAATTTAAAAGAAAAATAAATCATAGAATTATTTTGAATTATAACAAAATTGATATAATATATAAGTTTTGAGATTAAATTATTATCATATCATAATATATTAAAGATTTGTTTCAATTTATGGAGGTATATTTATAATAATAATTTAATTAAATAATTATATATATATATGTAAAAAAAATTAATAATTAATAAAAGGGTAAAATACATAAATAATATTTGGTTATTGAGCGTTGCTTTATTGAGTATATTAATTATTAAAAATAATAAAATGATCATCTAATTATATGATATTATTTTGTTAAGTCTCTCGATTATTAAAAATTATAAAATGGTCACCCAATTATCCATATGTTCAAACTCATCCTTTTTCGATAACAAATTGACGGTCATCTGAATTGTACATTAATATGTTGACTGAAATATAATAGTCGTTTGATATTCTGGAATAAGATTTTAGCATATATGAGTCAATAAATTAACATCTAACTCAAACTACCGTCAATTTTTTTATAAAAATGTCGTTTTAGAATATATGAATAGTCGTATGACTAATTTTCAGCTTTTAATAGTCAATTGACTCAATAAAATAACGTCATATAATCAGAAGAATATTTTATAATTTTTTTATAATAAAAACTCAATAAAACAGTGTCCTATAATCGATGATCATATGTGAACTTTACCCCTTCATTTAACTAAATTGTATTTTACCCTTTTAATTAAAAGATAACACAAAGTTCATTTTCATTCATTTTTTTAATTTTAATTAAAAGAGGAAAAAAAGAGAAGAAGAAATCTGTCCATTTTCATCGCCATTGGGAAGAATCCAAGAATGGAAGAATTGACCATGCATTTACAAGACATTGAATACTCCGAAACAGCCCCAATTATGGAGATTTCTCATTTGATCTCTTCTTCTTCTTCTTCTCATTCTTCTCTTTCTTTTTTATTATTGATTTTGACACATTAAAAACATCATCAAAACAGCGGCTCTCTTCTTTTTATTCAAAGCTTGGGTTTCTCTGCAAAAGGGAATCAACCAACCCACATCGATTTTGGACTCAAGTGAGATAACCCATCGAGGCTTTTCGCTTCTCTGTAGCATTGGTTTTGGATTTCAAGCAGATTTTGTGATATTAAAACTCTTGTTTTTCATTGGTGAATGATAGCTTATTTGCTGACTTTACTGTGTACTTATATGTCTTCAGCTGGTCTCTCTTTTTCTCTGCTGCTTCGTCTTATTCTTCAAAGCATGGGTTTTCAGCTAAACGAAACCAACCCTGATCGGTTTTGGACTCCATTAATATAACCCATCAAGGTTTTTAGCTTCCATGAAGCATTTGTTTTGATTTTTGAGTGACCAGTGTTTGGATTTTAAGCTAAAATTTGGAGATTTGTTATTCTTTTTTTATTGGTGGATGATTGCATATTTGGTGATTTTTCTGTGTGTTTACATGTCTTCAAGTGGTTTATCTCTTTTAAGAGTCAATTAAATTCTACTTTTGAATTTACCCAATTTTGTAGTATATCTATGAGTCAAGTGATCCAATTTTTCTGAATTTCCCAGTTGAGAAATCTGAGGGTGGATTTGATTATTACAAAGTATAGGAAAACCAAGTACTCAAAGAGGACTCTTGGTGTCTCTACAGCAATCCGTATTGAGTTTCTTCTTCTTTTTATATGCTATTAAGGAGAGAAGTCCCAAGTAAAAAGATCGTGTGGGTTTTAGATTTTGAAGTCTTAGGTTTCTGGAGATGGCTAGTGTCCAAGATCAACTAGAAATCAAGTTTAGACTGACCGATGGATCGGATATCGGGCCTAAATCCTTTCCTGCTGCAACCACTGTTGCAACCTTGAAGGAAAGTGTTATTGCTCAATGGCCTAAAGGTTAGTTTGGTGTTTGATCAACTCTGAATGAATATTGTATTTGCTATTTGTTCTTTGTCGAATTGTTTATTGGTTAATGTTTCGTTCTTATACACGGTTTGAAAGTATATGATCATGAATATTGTGTAGTGCACTTGTATCGTTTGGTGTTTGATTAAATCCAAATGAATTTGCATTTGCTATCTGTTCTTCGTTTAATGGTTTATTGATTTTATGTTGAATTGTTTCTTATTGTTTGAACTAGAAGTAGAGGATCATGAATCATGATATTGCATCTCGAAATTCATATACTTCAGTTGTAATTACAGAAATTATGGAATAAAATAGAAGAAGTATATCGTCCTTCATTTCCTTCAGAATTAAGACAAAATTACATTTTTAGATCAGTAAATTGATTAGAAATGCTGATTACAGTTGATGTATGATATGTTTAGTAGCTAAATATTTCCGAGTAGCCTAAATAACATGATTCATAATAGGACCAAAGAACTTTTTCGGGACTTTTTCCTGGTAAAAGATAAATAGATGCCCTTTTTATTTATATGAACCTCTATCATTTGAAGACTGCCATAAAATACTGCTCTTTATTAAAACAAACATTCTACAAACATGTTGGTTTACTTCGTTGCATATTAGGCGTTTTTTTCGAACATATTATAATTGAATTCCAAATCGGGATCTAGAATGAAGTTTTAGGGTTTATATGCTCTTAATCTTGGCAGAGAAGGAGAATGGTCCAAGTACAATGAGAGATGTGAAGCTCATTAGTGCAGGAAAAATATTGGAGAACGACAAAACATTGGGAGAGTGCCAGAGCCCTATTTGTGATGTTCAACCTCCTGTGGAGAAAGGTACAATTATTATCTGCTGCTTGAGGTTTTGTGTTTGTTAGGTCAAATGGTCAATCGAAAATGTTCAGTGATGTTATTTATTGCATTTTAGAGAAGGTTGAACTTGGTTTTTCTTGGCCACTTCTTGTTAATAGTATAAGGCACCGGAATTCATGCTACCAACTCATGCTGTCCTTTTCCGAACTTAAAATGTTTTTTATGATGCTTTTTTCTTGTATTTCCCCCCATGAACTAACATTCATATCTTTCATTGATGAGCAGAAAAGAAAGAAATAAACCAATCGAAGCAGAACAAATGCATGTGTGTCATATTATAATCTGCGGTTTGATTAGGAACGACATGATTTTCAGGTGGTTAGTCAATTTCATCCTACCTAGACTCTTTGTTTTATCTAAATTACTTATATTTGACACCTATGTTCAACACATATCCGGAGATGGGTGTATATGAAAAAACTTAAAAACAGTTGAGCATTCCCATGTAGGAAACACACCCGAATCTATACCGGGTTCAAAGTCCGGATAACATAGTTTAATTGATTGTTTTCCCTGCTAACATAATCCTTGGCTTTAAACTAAGTTACATGATGACAAATTTCTGCAGATGAAGAGTGCCAGAACCGGTATAGAAAATGAAGTAGCAGACTTTTGGATTGAGGATGGCGATTGGTGTTTTTTCTTTCTTCTGCTGGTCTATTCATTATATGTGTAATCGATGATTGCCCGTCCACTTAGTTCTCTCAGTTGTTTTCACATAAATTAGACTTGAATCTCAGATTTCATGCCCAAATACGTCTCATCTGATGGGTTCTCCGGAACTTCTTGTTTTGGAGCTCGACATCCCTTGTATAATATTGTTGTTTTAATCATGTAACTTTGACTCGGGACTCAAATTCGTGTTGTTCATAATTTTACCAAGAATAAATGCTGTTAGAGTTGCTACTGTTCCTATCTGCATTCCAACATCATTCAAGTAAGGTTTCATGGTGTCTCGGAGTTCATATTAGGGTTTCTTGGACTTTTATTCACCATCTTTCTACGTCAGTATTACAGGGAGAATTTTAGGGTAGAATTCACCATCTTTCTAAATTTTTAGAGATTAAATTTGGTTAATTATTTTGAATTAGGACCTAATTTTTAAAATTGTATAAGTTTTGAGATTAAAACTACTATTATACCATGTCATGTTATCAATGACGTTATCATTTTCGTTAAATTTTAACAAAACTTAATGCAACTTAATGTCAGGATTCTAAAATAGAATAGAAACAAAACGTAATGTTATATTAGTCTGGGCAATGGTGCAATGGATGCGAGTAATCTGCTGAACCCTGTGCTTGGTCGGAGAGAACTGTGATGCATTGGGGCAACGACACTGGATGAATATCATAAATACGTCGAGAAAGATCCTTCCCTGGAGTGTTGTTTCCAGCAGGTTTATGTTGATCAGCCAACTGTAGAAGATACAATTTCTATACTCCGGGGGCTTCGTGAGAGATATGAGCTGCATCATGGAATCCGTACTTCTGACAGTGCACTTGCGGAAGCTGCAATCTTGTCCGACCATTATATAAGTTACTGGAAATGATATCGCCCGAGTAGTTAGTGAATGGACTGGCATACCATTTTCTAAACTTCAACAATCTGAGGGAGAAACTATTATATTTGGAGCAAGTGTTGCATAAACTTGTTGTGGGTCAAGATCCTGCTGTTAGATCCCTAGTTGAGGCCATTCAACAATCTCAAGCTTTACCAACATCGTCATCATTATGACTTCGAATGGGGGTTCACAGTACATTCTGAACTTGGACGAAGACATGCCAAAAGACATAGCTTATTACTATAAAGCAGAGGGTGATGGAGGCTGCAAGAGCCGTCTTTCGACCCCAGTTCATGAATCGTACTGATGAATACATATTGTTCCAACCTTTGGACTGGGAACAAATAAACAATAGTGTTAGATTACTTCAGTTCCTTGTACACCTTCAAGCTGATCATGTTATTTCTTTGTGCTTATCGGCCTTAATTTTTCACAGTTTGTTTTGCTGCTGGAACGTGTGCAAACGAGAGTTGCAGATAGGAAAATAAAGCTTCAGGTGACCGATGGTGCTGTTCAACTTCTTGGAAATCTGGGTTACGATCCAAACTGTGGTGCTAGACCAGTCGAAAGAGTGATTCAGCAGAATGTTGAAAACAAACTCACCAAGGGCATATTTCGAGCAGAGTTCAAAGATGAGGATATCATCTTAGTAGACACCAAACTAACTGCATTCGCGAATGGCCAACTCCCCCAGCAAAAGCTAATCTCCAGGAAGCTCAAAAACGATTTGGATACACAAGGAACCGGTGGCGAAGAAGCTTTATCACAGGCCATCTGAAAGTCAAACAAACTCAACAACAATTTGGAACCGAAAGTTGAGAAGCTTTATCATTATCTGTCTAAAATTTGGTATTTATGTTTTTGATTAAATACTGTAAGTATAACACAATTTTTTATATACATCTGATATAAGTATCAGATATGAATACAACAAAAAGAAAAAGGGATCGGACCATTAGGGTGATTTCTTCACTTTAAATTGATCTTTTCGCAAGTTCTGAAGCATCAAAGCTCTTGTTTTGCCATCAGGTTTGAGACCACATTTTTGCATTCTGAAGTAGAGTTTCTTTGCTGGTTCAACTTTGCCTCTCAAACACATTCCATGAATAACAGCATTATAAAGAGAAACATCTGGTGGAACTCTCTGTAAAAAGAAGAGAAAAAGATGCTGATCGTTGATCTTTCGAAATCCAAGAGGGACACAAAATCATTAAGGCTTTATATTCGATCTATGTTACTCGACCTCTGATGTGCATGTCATAGACTTCAGGAGAGTAAAAAGGTTGCTTGAACAATAACTAAATGAAGATAAGCTTACCTCTAAGATTTCCTCCACTTCAGCCCAAAGAGATCCCCAGATGCAGCTTCTTATTAATGACAAATGAGTAAACGTATCCGGAACACACTTTTGATGAATCATGTGGTCGTAAACTTGCAATGCAACTTTTGGTTTCCTAGCAGTCTCGCAAGCTCCAATGACGAGATTATATGATGTGGTCGAAACCGATAATCCTGAAGCCTCCAATTGCCATAAAAGCTGCAAGGCCTTATCCCATGAACCGAGCTTCTGGCAACACATTAGTGCGGTGTTATATAGATGAAGGTTTGCGGGTGAGTTCTGTTGTCTTATTCTTTCGAAGAGGTGAAGAGCATCGGCATGTTGATTTGCTCTATACAAAGCACCAAGCAATGAGTTCCATGTGAAATCATCTGGTTTATGACCCAAAAATGTCATAATATCATAGATTTTAAAAGCTAATTTGATCTCTCCAGCTTTTCCAAGTGAATTAATCAATGCATTGCATGCTACTGCATTCGGCTTCCACCCATCATTCAACATCTTCCGAAAGATTGATAATGCTAAATCCCATTTCCCTTCCTTTGCACATGCGTTAATCACGGCATGCATCGTGTCATCCCGCGATTCGACTCCATTTCGTATCATCTCACTGTAAGCATCAAGCGCCAATTCGCATTGATTACAACGAACAAAAATGCTAACTAGCAAGGAATAAGTGACTTGTGTCCCTATATAGCAATTCTCCTGGATTCTTCTCCATAACCTCTCAGCTTCAACCCAATTGTTTGATTTTCCACAAATTGAAAGAGCCGTATTATAAACAATCACATCGAAACTCTTTCCCTTTTTCGAATCCCCTTCCAATTCTGCAAACATATCGAGGGTCGCATCACACCCCTGACTATCTGCAATGGCTTTCAGCATTAAACTATAAGTATGTCCTGTGATAATTTCATTGTTCTTCATAAACTCAAAAGTTCGCAAGGCATCATCGAGCATCCCATTTCTTAGCAGACATGAGAGAAGAGAATTACATGCATGAGCATCGGGTTTAAGACCAGAAAACTCCATTGATTTACACAATTCCATTGCACTTCTAACCTTGTTGGACCTACTAAGCATCAATATTCTTCTTGATAATTCCTTTTCATTCCTTTCCTCCAAAAAGTGTACCTTAGCATCTTGTACAGGGTCCTTCACATTTGAACATGTTGAAGGTCGATCTATACTTTCGGTCGCAAAATCCGAATTCCGGTCGACCACCAAATTTCCCCAAGGAGGCAAATTTCGACACAAAGAATCCAACTCAAATTCTTCTTTTTCATTTTCAATCAAACCATTTTCATCATCAGATTCAAAACCAGTAGACATCTTCATTACTTTAACCCTATCATCTACCATAGAGGACTTAAATTGCAAATTCATCATTGAATTATTCATCGATAATCGACTAAACCGAACATATTTACGAACAGACACAGGCACCAAAGCCGTGTATACTCTACATTTCATTACACGTTTTCTGCACCTTTTCAAAGGCAGACCACCTCTGAAACAACCATAAAAACACCTACAACAAACAGTATCTCTACTTTGGTTGCATGAATGATACTGCAATCTAAACCCATCTGATATTATTGCAAAAGAAGCTGGATTCCCCAACAATTCTCCCATAACTAGAACACTAATCAAAATTTAGGGGGGGAAAGATTCAAACTACACAAGAAAAATCCCTCAATTTTAAGAGTATGGATGAACCAACTGTAAGAAAACTCCAAGCATTACTATTTAACCAATAGACCCTTTCAGTTCTTCCAAGAAAATATGTTACTTTGGCTTAAACACGAAGAAGAATTAGAAATTTCAGGCTTAAATGAGAAAATGGAGAAGACCCAATTCAAGTTTGAAGCTTGAAATCAGAAACAAACAACAGTTGAAATGAAACAGAGGTTTACCTGCAAAGTTCTATGGAATTCTAAAGATACCACTGGGAGCAGTTTCTTCGATGTTGAAGATAATAGCGGACAAAACGACGTTATTTCAATAGGCCTAGTGAAACGCACCGTTTTAATCTCCTTATAAATTAATATAACAAACCTACTACGAGGAATAGATATTTGATCGGAATCCGACGGCTTTTGATTCTATCTTATTGATTAGATTCAGGTTCAATTTGATATAATATTATATTTTTTATATTATAAATAATTACAGTAATATTTCTCTTTATATATTTTTAATTAGATCTTATTTACCTAATTAAAATAACTTATATGTATGGGTTTAATCAAATTGAATGGAGATTTTTATTTTAAAAATCAAGTAAGATTTTGAATTGATCAAATCCTATTAAACCTAAGTTAAATCAGATACAAATAGAAGGGTTTAATTTTAATATCAAGTACGAGTAGATAAATCAAATTATCTCAGTAGTTAAAAAGATGTTACTCTTAGAAGTTTCATGCTTTAACATCAGACACCGTAAGAATGATTTAACTTTTGTTACGGTAATTAAAAATTAGATGATTGAGAGACGTATTTTTAAATGGAACACATACGAAGAGAACTCTATATGAAAAGCATGTCAAAGATGGGTACACGCGGAGAACACCATCCAATCAAGATGGTAAAAACTACATTTTATTTTTTAATTTACTATGAACCAATTGTTAATGAAGAAGTTCATCTTTCACTCATCGACACTGTTCGATGAAGGTTTCGTGTCTTGGAGGTTGATCACGGTTTCGAACGCACCGACCAAGGTCTTAACCTTACTTTTCCGGGTTCCACAGAGCTTACTCACAGCTTCTTCGATGATGTTATTAAACAAACCCTGTCCATCTTGCTTCCCGGCACATCCTGGTGTCTTAAAACAACCTTTTCCTCACTTGGTTCGTTGTCATTTGTGCCACATTCCACACTTCCTTGCTTGAACTTGAGCTGCATCGGACAATGATCGTCGTACTGAATGTCGATAATCGTCCCTCTCCGGAAAGATAATTTCACAGGTTGGCAATCATCGGAAATGTCTGCTTCGTCCATGTGTACATTATTGAATGCAGAATCCGAGTCATGTTTGGCTTTGGTCACGGTAGACTCGGATTCATCTGTAACGTTTGGAGACACTTCAGCAGCACAATTCTCATTTTTATCTGATTCCAACATTACATCTTCCGTCTCCAATTTGATTGCATACAGTGTTTTCTCATTAATGGTGTCGATGTTTCTTTCGACTTGTTCATCGAGAATTTGCTGCTCGGTTTTGGCATTTTCAACCTCGTTCTGATTCTTATGTGGAAGCACAACTTTTAAGTTCTTGTTCTTCCTTGCACTTCGGCTTATAGGTCCTGAAAGAGAAGCTCTTCTGGACAATGGAGCTCTGCTTGATGCAGAAACTTCCTCTAAGGTTACTTTGGAGGGTACAGTTGCTCTTCCCATCTTCGTGTCACGGGTTCCGCTCTGCCTCCGGACGCTTAGAACGTCAGATGGTACAGCAAGAAGAAGCTTTCCGGACCGAGCTTTCGGCTTCAAAGTAGTGGGCAGTTTCAAAAGGCTTTCCTCATTAGCTTTTGATGGAACTTTCTTTGAAGAGACTTGTACTCTCCTGAAACGCGATGATCCGTCCTGCAGCATGCCTTTACCGGCATCGGATAAGTCGGATTTTAACTTGGTCAAAGGTTTGAGCTTTCTCATAACATTCTTTTTATCCGAAGAGTTCATAGGCACCTCAAGGTTCATAATATCAAAGATATGAGAGGAATGACTTCCGGAATTGGGACCATATTTGGTCTTGGGCTTTACCACTGATGCCTTTGCTTTTACTATAGGCTTATTTCTGCCCGGCGAGTCGGTCGATGTCTGAAGCTCGGTGACCTCAGAAATATCAGGGATGTGAATTTCAGAGTTGGGGAGAGATCTGGACCTAATTGGTGTTATCTTCTTCCTCTCTGGCGAGTCTGAGCTCCCGAACAAATTCGGCTCATCTGATGGCTTCTTTATAATCCTCTTCGGAAAAGGAAGCCTAACCTTCTCTTCAGTTTCATCATGTTTCTTCCCTGGTTTGCAGAAATCGTGATAAGTACCAATAGAAGCTCTCCGATAAAGAGACGGAACCATTTCTCTGGTGTTTGTTGACCCGGCTAATGAGTTTCTTCTCGGGTTACCCCCATTGATCATATCTGGTGTCATTGATGAACTAAAACTCTCCAGAGCCATTAAATATGTAGCAAACAGAATAAAAAGCTTAGAACAAGCAATCCTGAAATCCAACCAAAATTTGATGTCAGCAGTAGCCAACTATACATACACATACACATGAATAAACCTATCAGGGGTAATCAATTAGACTAGATTAAATACATTCATACAGATACATATTTACATATACGGGTAGATGTAAAGCTCTATGTCAGCAGTAGTCAATTATACATACACAAACATATGCATATGCATAAACTTATACATATACATGCATAAACCCATCAGTGGTAATCAATTAGACTAGATTCAATACATACATACATACATACATACATACATACATACATTAATACATATACTGGTAGATGTAAAGCAGAGAAGAGTACTAACCAAACTCTATTTGGGGTATTATGCTTCAGATTTGTCTACCTGCAGAATTACAGAGGAAGATTTAAAGATCATTAGAAACCAGTTCAATATAAAGCTAAACATCATTCAATTTGAGAAACAACTAAAAGGAACAGATCCGAAAACGACGATTCGACATAAACTCGAGAGCATATAAGAACAACCCTTCGTTTCTAAACAGTAAAAGAGCTTGATTTCACTATACATTCTTGTTCTGGAAACACCAGAAAAACATCTTTTTGATATATGCAACAAACAAGCAACTACTTTTTCTGGGATTTCTTTACAGTACCACATGGTTTGCTATTCAATCAAAATTGTTAATAAATATAACATGAGCACATGCAAAAAGAGACAAACTTCTCCTGTTCATGAAAGTTCAATGAATGAAAACAATTGGTTGGGCAAAGCAATAAATCACCCATCAAAGAAGACAATGTCACGCCAAAAAAATCATTAAGTTCGTGAAAAGAAAAAGAAAAAAGACATTAAACACGAACCTACCAGTACAAAGAAGAAGAAGAAGAAGAAGAAGAAGAAGAAGAGGTATACACCAAAATCCAACCCAAAATTCACAGTTTAGAAGAAATCCATTGTTCTGAACAATCCATAAACCACAACCCATATTATATATTCCTTCAAAAGCCAAAAATGAAAAAGATAACAATGGGAAGTTAAACCTTGTTTTGTATCAGAAAGCTTGTTGTTAACTATGTTTAACCAGAAAAGGCAACTGAAAAGCGAAATGAGTGAATGTTTTTGGAAGTTCACAGAAAGGTGGTTTGAGGGTGGAAACAAACTGTTTTGGGTTTTATTTTCTGTGTTTAGCTTTGCATTGTGCGTTTGGTTGGTTGCAGGCTTTGCTAGAAATATGGAGGAAGAGATTTCCGCTTGATCAAACTGCCATGAAAGAGACTAACTAACTCGGAGAGACTCACATTGCACCATCTTTTATAGGTATATTATTATGCCGCAATTTATTTTAAAATATTATCATGTTTAACTTAAAAAATTATATAAATTTATAATATTTTCGGTTACAATCAAAAAATTACATTACGATAATTTAGGGCTTATAATCGAAAATATTACGAAGAATCTAAAATTTTCACTTGCAACCTCTATAACTTAAAAAGTTGCTCTGTTAAACTTAAAATGTTAATCTCTTAATGAAATTCTCGATTACAACTGATTTATACTTTTTTTAACAAATTATATTTTAAAATTTCTTATATCATTATATTCACGAAGTTCGATTGCAACGTTATTGGCTTTACTTCCATAGTATTTTCTCATATATATATATATATATATTACCGTGACGTCTTTATTTTACTTTATAAAATTTAACAATAGAAAATTATCTGACAAATAAGATGTATAAATTTTAGTTTATAGAGAATTATTTGTTTCATTGTTCTATAATTTATTTAAAATTATGGTTTATGATTCAAGATTTTAAAATTTTAAGATTTATTGTTTAGGATTTGGAGTTTTAAGATTTAGGGTTTAGAGTTTAGCATATATATTTCAACGTCGTATATTGTATTTAAATATGAATCAATTGTATTATATGTCCTTAAACTATGACATTCATATCAAATTGAGCTCTAAACATTTGAACATTCTAATTTCATCATCAAATTATGAGTCGTTCTTTGAAAATTCATCATCATAAACTATGACTCATTATATTAGTCTCTAAACTTTTGAATATTCTAATTTTATCCCCAAACTTTTAAATGATTTAGGGGTCTTATTTGAAGTTTAAGGCTTAAGATTTTAGATTTTAGAATTTATGGTTTAAGGTTTAGGTTCAACATGTCACAACAATAAGGTTTACGTCTTAATTTTAGTTTAATAGAAATTTATGAGAAAAACCATCTGATGCATAGGATGAATAAATTTTAATTTATAGATGTCTGTCTGTTTTAGTGTTATATATTGTATTAAGATATTAGAGTCTAAAATTTTAGTGCTATGAATCTACTTAGGGAAGGGCATGGGATCCGAACCTGATGGGTTCTGACCCGATCCAATCGGGTCGGATTTTTAAAAATTTTGGGGTTGGGTCGGGTCGGGTCGGGTCGAGTTTTTTAAGTGTGATATTCGGGTCGGGTTCGGGTTTTGGGTGAAAAATACCCGACCCGAAAAAATATATAACCGAAAAAATTATAATTTCACCTTATATATTTAGGAATAATTACAATAATACCCTCTCTATATATAATTTTTTTCCAATTAAATCACTGTTTTTATTGAATAAAAATATTTTTTTATTATTTCGGGTTAGGTCGGGTGAAACCTTGTTTTGGTCGGGTATCGGGTGGAGGCTCCCTTGTTCTCGGATCGGGTGGACAAAAAACCTGACCCGACCCGACCCATGCCCATCCCTAAATCTACTAGATTCAATCTAAAAATTAAATATTTTTTGATCTAATAGATAAATACTTTAAATCTTAATTCATAAATCCAAATTTAAGTTAATGTGGGTCATATTTATTTTCTTTTATTTTGTTTGGTCGATCTGATTGAATTACTGAACCAACCACAATTAAGTGGAGATATCACTTGATTTTCACTTGTATAGTAAATAATATATTCCATTAATTTTTGTTTTATTGTCATTGAAATATTGTGATGGTATTTGAGCTACCACATTAGAGCAATTTAATGTAGCATATGATTTTGTAATAATAATAATAATAATAATAATAATGTATCATATTATGTTTTTTTATTATCGAAAATTATCAGTGATTATTATTGTATAAATGTATTTGTTAATAATATTGGTGTGACGGTCTACTATATTGATATAATGGTATAATATATTGACGTGATAATCTACGCATGAATAATGATGTTGTAGACAGGGACGGAGATCCCTTAGGGCTCAAGGGGGCCGACCATGTTAAAATTTATATATTCGATATAATTTTGGTTTGTATAAAAATAAATATTTAAATTTAAAAATATAAAATTTTATTAAATATTTAATCAAGTAGGGGTCGAACTAAATAATGATAAGTCATTTTTCTCAAATTTTTGGTCTAATTACAATTTAAGTCGTTGTAAGTTTAAATATTAGACAAATGAGATGTTTTATTTTGATTTTTGAGTTTTTTTTAATTTATGGTGAATACAATGTAATATCTGTACAAAGACTTTCAACTATTTGACAATGAACTAAGGTCGCTTGGTTCATGTTGAATTTCGAGTTTAAATACCTAACAAGTCTTTATGGTTTTCTTAAATAGTCTAATATTTCAGTTCATGCCAATATTTAATTCTGGTAGAGAGGTTTAAATTGTTATTTTTAGAAAGTTAAAAAATTTAATGTAATAACAGTGATAGTTGCGTCAATATAATAACAAATAATGTCGGTTAGTAAAAAATGTTAAATTGACACAATTCATAAGTTTAATAATCTAATTAAATACATTTTTACGAAGAGACTAAAACAATTATCTAATATGAGTTTAAGGGCTAGAATATACCCTAAATCTTTTTATATAATATTTAAATTACTTATAATCTCTTTTCAAGTTGTAATATGGATTAAAACTCAATCAATAATCATTAATGTTTTTTAATAAATGGAAGTGATTACAAGAAATTATATGTTCTTAATCTTTCTTAGTTATCATAATACACACACCTTGCAAATGTAAATGTTCGAACTCAAGACATCTAGAAAAAATAATATTCCATTTAACCAATGAGGTAGCATGATGGGTTCAATATTATGTTATGGGTAAACTACACGTTTAATACCTAAACTATCATTTTTGTTTTAGTACTTTATTTTTTTTAAAATCATATTTAATGTTTAGTTTAAGTTTCAATTTGACACCCCATCTTTAAAAACTTAATGGTGATGTTGGCGTGTCACCATAAGATAATTTCACGTCATTGTTAAAAAAGTAAAAAAAATGTCACGTCAACAGTTCTATTAATTTTTTAACGACGGGGGTACCAAATTGAAACTTAAACTAAATGTTAAGTATGATAGTGAAAAAATGAAGTTTAGGTTCCAAAATTGAACAAAAATAATAATTTAGGTACTAAACATGTAATTTACCCTAATGTTATTTATTGTAATTCACGCGAGAGAAGATATAGGTAAGAATAATAAAGGATATACCACCGCAGACGTAGCCTAGTTGGCAAAGCAAGGACTCTTGGGATTATGAGCTGGTGTCATGTCCTAGGTTCGAACCGCGCTGGCTGGAAATCATGGAAAAAAAACGAGGATAGAGTGGTGGGTTCTTTAAGCCCCTCTAGAGGTTGACTTGTAGGGTTGGGTTCTTTATCTTGACCTTAACGTTATAAAAAAAGAATTATATTTCAACCTTAGTTAATAATTATAATCATAGGAAGTTGGCAATCCTAAGTTACCACATATACATAAATACTTCTTTGGTCTAAAATTAAAAAATATTAACAATGATAAGAATAAATCGTATAATATAAGATATGATTATTGTATTACGATAAAAATCATTGTTTTAAAAGTGATTTTATCCTGATTGATGTGATCATAAATTGAACGTCATCTCCACAAGAAAAATACATCACTTTCTACAACAAAAAGAACCACCCTG